CTAATGGTCAAACATGATAATGTCATGAAGGAGGTGGAGGCAAGATAGAGGAGCAGGAACTTACATAGCAGTTTCGCATAACGCGCCGCCTTAAAACTGGTGGCCAATTGGCTACTAACCGCCAAACCGACACGGTTTCCACTCGTCGATTCCCCTGATTTATCAGCCCATTGCTTTTCTAAAACTATATAAATCTACAATCATACTTCAATTCAGCCATATCTCAATCTTTTCCACTTGAAGTATACAATCTACTATAAATAGGAATATATACGCGCACACAAGCGAGATATTTCAGCAATTGGTGTTGTACTTTATATTTTCAATATAATCAATTTGACATGACGGTTAAGAAAGGAGAAACAGCAGTACCTTCTCTGACGACGTTGTATAGCTCCCAGGAAAATGGGGTAGAAAAACCCCAATCGTCTCCGAAGTCGGCTTTCCAGCGTTTGCGCAGGAAATTATCGCCGAGGAAGTCCGCATCGGTGGATCTGAAACCATCAATTTCCAAATATTCTTCTTCAAGTTCCGATGACGAAAACGGCGAAGCTCCTGCGATGGATAAATGGAGCGAAAAGGAGATGGTGTTTAAATACTTTGACGAAAACGGCGATGGTAAAATCTCAAAAGAAGAGCTAAGGAGGTGCGTGAGGGCTTTAGGTGGCGAAATGTCGGATGAGGAGGCGGAAATGGTGGTGCAGTCGTCGGATTCTGACGGCGATGGAATGTTAGGGCTAGAGGACTTCTCTAAGCTAGTGGATGGCGGTGGCGAGGTCGAGAGAAATGATGAATTGAAGGAAGCGTTCAAAATGTACGCAATGGAGAATAGTGAATTCATAACGCCTAAAAGCTTGAAGAAAATGCTGAATCGATTGGGGAATTCGACCTCCATTGATAACTGCACAAGCATGATAAGCAGATTCGACATTAATGGAGATGGCGTCCTTAGCTTCGATGAGTTCAGAGATATGATGCGATAAATTGTTTCAACATTTATGCTTTGTAATTATCCAATTTGGAAGTCTTTTGTGTATATTTAAAAAATTGTCCATTGCTTAAAAAGAAAAAAGAATAAATTTTCAGACCTGAGGCTACCTTTTTAAATGTAAGATCAGCTTATTTACTATAACAGAGCTACAGAGTGACCCAGTTTTGGTTTTTTTAATTAAAAGCCTACAAAGCAAATGAAGTACTAATTGTTGGAAAATCGACAAAGGTGCTTATGTATAAATTACAAATCGAAGAATCAATAGGAACTATATCACAAACTGCAGATGCCCACTGCATAGATTCTCTATTCTTTGCTGGATCGAGAAAAATCACAATGCCAATGGTTTGAAGGAGAGATGGCATCGAGAATTTGAAGGAACGACGCAGAGATTTTGAAGATGAGACGCTCGAAAATAAGGGTTTTATTTCAACGGCTTTCACTTTAACCCGGCTACACGGAGACTGGATCATGGGGTTTAATAAATACCGATCGGTTCAATGGGTTTTGGAGAGAGTTTTTAATTAGAGGTTTTATAATTAAAATCAGACCAGTTCCAAGTTTTTCCGGTTGCACCAATCGGTCCGATTTTTAAAGCATTGATAATGATAAAGCAGTATGCTTTATTCGATTTGATTGTATTCTTTTTTACTACATATAGATAATTGTTTAAATGGTGTTTATTACTTATTATCAATATTCCAAAAGAAGATTTTCTCCCAATCCACCGCCAAACTCAATCCTCGACAACCATCTCCCAATCAATCACAAAAATGGGGGGTGATACAAAAATGGTATGGCTCCTAATCAAATCAGGTCAACTCTACATCTCTAATTATCCTATTCCAATCAAAGTGGATTTACTTCCATATTCTAAGACTACGACTCTTTAAAAGAAATACAATCCTAAACCTTTCATCAAAGAGACATAATGTTGACTAAACCTCTTGTTTTAGTTCTCTAACGATATTTTTCGACACTCCACGCCTTTGTTTAAGGTAATCTAAGACCATAGACGACGTTCCATTGCTACCAGAAGCTCGAGCATCTCTCTAATCGATATCTAAGTACAAATTTTGAAATCAATGGTAATAATTTTAATAGTGTCATAGAAACTCACTGGTGGATATCAAGTCTAATACTTTTTTTTTTTTTTTAATTTCAA